GTTTTGGGGCCGGGGAAATGGCTCAGTGGAATAAGCACTTCCCTGGCAAGTTCAAAGGCTGGCCTGAGTTCAATTCCTGGTTCTGCCAAAAAAAAAAATAGTTTTGAAAAAACAATATATTTTATTCATAATAATGTACACTATGGGCAGAATATGAATCCCTAAACCAGAAGATTAGATTTCCCCGATAATGACGACAATACCAGCTAAGATGATTTTCACTGGCACTCCGCGATAGAAGTTCTTTCTCTGGTACACTCTTAAGGTGGGCAAAGAGTTCTTCCGACTGGCTGCCATGATTTGCAGGCTTCTCCATAAATTCAGTAAGTGACTTGATAAGTGGCTTCAGCAACTTCACATAAGCTGAAAGCTAAAAAACACTGCAGTTATTAAACTTATTTCAGCAGATTCTTGTTTTCCGTCCTTACCTTATAAAATAAAGATCCTACTGTGACGTAAAAGAAGATTCAAAGACAAAATAAAAATTCTAACTCCTACCCATTTTTATACCAACTCAAAATGGTAGCAAAATTGCGTATTACTATCATTCACGGATTGCCAATTCTAATTTCCAAAAGGCCCACTAGTTTCTCGTAAGTGTACAGAAATCTTTATTAGTCTAGTACTTAAGAGTATTACAATAAAATTTAGTACAACTAGAAAACAGACAGATAAACTGCAGGTCAACTATGGTCCTCAGTTCACAAGGACCACCCCATAAGAAAGACAGTAAAACCCTGGATTGTGTGTATATTGTTCTTTGAGTTTTCTGCAAAACAAGCAAACACTTCTAATAAATTTTGACTTGATAAGAGATACTTTGCAATAATATTAGTATGTCAAGTCTTACACGGTCACAACTGAGCCAATGGTTCTCCTCCTCCTCACCTCCTCTCCCCCTAGGATTATGGAGGATACCCTCTGGAAAGCAAGACAGCAGGAGAGCTCATTTGTAGAGGAGAAAAAGGCAGAGGAATCTCTCACCTCTAATGAGATTAGGCAGATGTGTAAAATGTGGGAAACAATGCAAAATTTTGTAGGGAAGCATCATCCATAAAAAGCTGTAGCAGCGCAAGCAATTTGTTGAATCTGTTTAATGACAATGTAATGTCACATTTCCATGAAATCCTTGTTAAAGTTGCATGAAAAGAAAAAGATTCCACTGAGCCAATAGATAACAAAGCTTCTGCTCGTGAGGGTCATTCTGCACAACAACCCTCATCTTCCTTACGCCAACCCCAAAGGTCTTTAAGAATAAGTGCAGGTTAATATATTTTTATTTATATTTTGTATTTTATTATTTGGTAACACATTACAGTATTGTAATAAATTTTATATGAGTATTTTGGGGCTGTGAAATGAATCACCTGAGTTTCCATTATTTTTCTGGGGAAATTCACTTTGGTAGATGCATGCAATGGATTGCAAGCATGCTTCTGGAATAAATTACGCTCACAAACCAAAGCTTTACTGTCTAGTGTATGTTATTTATGCCTAGAATCACAGAAATTCAATATACTTTTCAAGGTATTTGATGATAAAAGCTACAAATATAGGATGTTCTTTTGAAAGAGTATCTTTCAAAATTACACATTTCTATTCCCCACTCAATGTAGGCCACTCTGTGGTGACAATGAATAGACAGTGACAGTACTGCCCAAGTTTATTAAATAATCTAATTGCTTTCATTCAAACTTGGAGATGTTACTCTTAAAATACAAATGTTTCTGAATTTCTTCAAAGTTGTTCCATATTAAATGACAAGCTGGACTTTTAGCAAACATTAAGGCTGTGTTTCCAAAATTCTAATAATCATGGAAATATGTTTCTCCAACTTCATTTCATATTTATACAATATCAAAGGTTATATTTAAAGTGTTCTCTATTTTATACTTATGATTTATTGTTGTCTTCCTGTATTAAAATGCATTATATTCAGGAATTTTCAGTATTAAGTAGGTATGAAATTATAGGTCAAAAATTATTCACAATATTGAATTAACAATTCTGATCCAAAATGTCTATAAAAATGCTTTTATTTTTGTCTGATGGTTCTATACCCTGCAGAGACAAATACTTAGTACAGGTTAATGAATACAGCTGTTTTTTTCAGTATTGGCAACTGAAATACAAAATGAGCAGCTACAAAACATACAGAACCCAAGATGATACATTTGGATGCTGAAAATACATAACACTTATTACTAGGGCATAACAGTATTTGTAGCTATTTATAGTTTAGAAGAATAAAAATATATAGACATAAAAAGTCAAATAAATAGTCAAACTTAAAGGATAAAGCAGTATATGCTCTGGATAAGTCACAGAAATCAAGAAACCTTCCTCATGCGTTTGTTCAGTTGCAATAGCTACTGCTCTAAGAGAGGACCTGGTACAATACTTAACTTTCATCCATTCATTCAAAAACTTCTCTCTCTGGAGATTTGAATCACAAGAAAAATGGTTAATTTACAGTCAAATCCTCAGCACCTAACAGCCTTGCTTTCATTCTAAAATAAAAACCTTTTTTCTTTTAATTCCCAAGATGAATCAAGGGATGCATAAGTTTAAAAGAAAAAAAAAAAAAAAGTCATTCATCATATCCATTAAGGGCTTTGAACTTATGTTCTCTCCTTTATTTATTGCTTCTGCTGTGCTCAAAGCTGCTGAGGGCTGCTGAAAGCCTAATTACTTGCAGAATTCTTGCAAATCATTATTAAAGTAGCCATAAGTTGAGAACTACTAGCACAGAGCCCAGGGGAACACAATCATTGATTTCCAACAACCCCGCCCAGTGAAGAGATGTTATTTTAACCTTATTATACCACACTTATCTCTTTGATTCTCACTCATTTCTGTAGGCAAGCATAATAAGTAATAAAAAAGCCATTTACTCATATGTTGAGATGCTTGAGATACAAGAACCTCAATTAGTAGTACACATCAACCACGGAAGTAACAGAAGTAAAAGACAAGCAAAATATTATTAACTGTTAAAATTTATATTATGATTTGTGTGTATTTGTTCCCACAAAACCTCATGCAATCATGTGTCAGACTTCTACAGTTTGTGATTAACTCATGATCCACTGGGATTTTGGGTGTGAGTACTACTCCCAGCCAGGGGCAGATTGCCTGAACGCAACTTAAGGGGGACAGGCTTCCTCTCTGTAGCCATTGTTGTCGCTACTCCTCCCTTTTGCTCTTTGCTCTTTTCCCCACCAAGAAAGGTTGCTCTCTGCCAAGTACCAGTCTGCGTTGGAGCCAGCTGTGTATGGTCTGAAACCTCCAGCAAGCTGAATACACCTTTCCTTCCTTCCTTTTGAGTGTTGGATATTGGTCCCAGCAAGGAGAGAAGACTAACTGAGGCAGCTTACAAACCCGATCATGTTCTAACTGCAAGCAGAAAAGTATGCTAATTTTATGTATAAACAGACAGGCTGGGATAGACAGGTAAAAAATGGAGACCAGGGTCGGGGAGACAGCTCAGTGGCATAAGCGCCTGCCTGGCAAGCACAAGGTTCAGAGTTCGATCCCTGATACCAGAAAAAACAAAACAATGGAAAATAGAGACTAGTGTGGGCAGCAAGACTGTCTTAAAATAGAAGTTTAAAAAAAGAAAAGAAAGGAGGAAGGAAGGAAAAGAGAGGGAGGGAGAAAAGGACAGAGGGAAAGGAGTGAAAGACAGCTCAATCCCCAGAAAGGGGGGAAAGGATGTTCTGTAGTGTTCTTTTTACCGCAACAAAAAACTACTCTGAGACCCACACTCAAACATTTGAAACATTGCAAACCATCAGGTGATATGGAACTGCCTTTGAAATAAATTTATGAACACCGCCAGTATGGTTAGTTAGTCGCAATAAACAGGCACCACACGCTAACCACCTTGCATTCTGTATTCGCCTATGTGATACTGAGTCTACCTAATCTTTATTAAGACTACCCCCAAAGTGTTAGGGCCCCATTTTTCAGATAAGTAAACTGAAACTAGGAAGGTTAAGCGACCTAAGACCGCACTAATGCTACTGTGCCAAACGCTAAAGCGGAGTCTTCAGAAAGAACCCAGAGCAGCGGATTCTTTTGGAGCCCAAGTGCCTGCATGCCCGCCCTAGCTCGGTTGCTGGAGCAGTGCTCCCGAGCCTAGAGGGCTCTGCGTGCCCGCTGCGGCACGCGTGCCAAGGGTTCGGCACGGCTGAGAATTCTGGGGAAGGAACCAGCCGCTACCAGGAATATCCTTCACTTAGAGAACGATCGGGTAGTTCGGTGGGCGATTAAAAACCAGCAGAACAATTAAGAAAGTACAATTTCTGAAGGAAACACGAATACTCGGGCACTCATTCTGGACAAGTCCACCTCGCGTTAAGATCTGCCAAGGGTCCCAGCGACCACACTCTCCGTACGACTTAGTCCTGCCGCTTTTGGCCTGCCGAAGGAGAGCGTTGGGGCAGAAAGGAGCTGGAACCAGGCAGGGTGGGCTCAAGGATCTCCAGCTCCCGCCCCAGACGCCTTCAGCAGCCGCCCAGCTGTAGCCAACCAACTTTCCCCGCTCGCAGCTCAGCACCCAAAGCCGCATCTCCGCGTCCTCGGCTGCGTCAGCACGTCGCCATGACGTCAGCGCGCCCCTGCCGTCAGCCGCCGACGCAGGGCGCCAGCGGCCTGTGGCTGCTGTGGCTGTAGTAACGGGCTGCCCGGCCAGCGTACCTGTGTTTTCCAGCCCTGGGTCAACTGGGAAGGAGCGGGACACAGGGGGCTGTAGAGTTGGGACGAAGGCTAGGGAAGTAGGCAAGGGACGCCAGGTGAGAAGCAGAATTCTCAGAACAGCACGCGCCTGAGGAGTGCCCACGCAGGTTCAGCGGCACAAAAGAAGAGCTGGTAACCGGCTGGTGGCTTCTGTGGCAACGGCCGCCCCGCCCCTTCCGCCGCCGATTGGCCCGAGTTCCGAGAGCCAGCGCCGCCTCTGCTGCTATTGGCCGGAGTGGAGGGGCGGGGCCGGGGGCGCTTTGTCTCCGCCCCGTGGGTTTCCCTGGTGAGCTGCTCCCAGCTTTTGTTGTAAGGACGGTCCTTGTGTATAGTTACTGAAAATCTGAACAGAGCTTAACCAGAAACGGAAATGAGGCTAATTTTGAATTTTCTTGCTGTAAGTCTGGAAGTGACTTGCTTTTGATTTTTCTACAGCGGAGACTTGAAAACGTGAAGACCACTGTGATGAAAGAAACTTGTTTTAAATGTGCATTTCTGTTTTCATCTGAGACTTCCCTTGGGCCCTAGAGTATTTTTTGTTAAATTAAGGAGCCATTTGGTGTTTGCCAAAATCTCACATTGTATCACACTGGTAAAATTTATAAACTCTTGAAAAGATTAAAAAGAAAAAAATATATATATATACATATATACATATATATATTTTTGAAAAATATTTTGGTGCATCTATGCCTTTTCTTTTAGGCTTACTATATACTGTATACTAGGGGTTCAATGCCCAGCGTGCCGTGCCAGCCCCATCCCTAGGGCACACTGAGATGGCAACCGAGACTGGGTGTGGTCGCACACCTGTAATCCCAGCACTTGGGAGGCTGAAAACAGGAGGATTAGTACAAGTCTGATCTGTGTAGTGAGCCCCTGTAGACCCTGAAATAAATAAATATATATATATTAATATAATATTTAATTAACTGAGCATTTTAACCCTACCTGATTCTACCTATTGATTTTACTCATTTTCTGTTGATGATTCCAGCAATACCTTCTTTTTCCCTAACACTGTGGTGGTGCAGTAGAGAGTTCATGAGATATAAAATTAAAAAAAATATATTCACACATAATTGCTCCTTCTATGCACATAGTAAAAGGTGCTGGGGAGTGTGGTTTAACTATGATGATGGACTGTGACCTTTGGCAAGTCAAAACTAACCTCTAGACAGTTTTCTCAGAAAAACAAAGTAGGGTCAGCAGAGTTCAGGTAAAGAACATGAACAATTCTGGCCTAGTCAGCACTACCTGGGATTCTAGCTAACTTTGTTAACGTTTAAAGTTAAGTTTAAAAATAACTGCTCAGCTCAAAAATGGGCATCTGAGATGAATATACACGAATGAGATACAAATGGAAAATAAATATATGAAAAAATGTTCAATGTCATTGGTCATTCAAGAGATGCAAATTAAAATACATAAGAGATACCTTCTTACCTAGAAAGAATGGCCATCATCAAGAAGTCAATCAATAAATGCTAGAGAGGCTGTAGGGGGAAAGGAACCCCTACCACTGTTGGTGGGAGTGCAGGCTGCAACAACACTGTGGAAATCAGTATGGAGATGGCTCAGAAAGCTAGGATTGGAGGTCCCATTCAAGCCAATTATTGTCCTCCTAGTTATTTTTCCAAAAGAAAGCATCATACCATAGTGATATATGTGCACCCATGTTTATAGCAACGCAATTTGTCATAGCTAAACCTTGGAAACAACCCAGATGCCCATCAACTGAAGAATGGATAAGATGTGGTATTTTTACAAAAATGTACTATTACTAGCTATAAGAAAGGATAAATTTGAGGCTCTATAAATAAATTGATGAAACTAGAGACTGTATTGGTAAGTGAAATAAATCAAACCCACATGTGCGGCTATTGCATTGTCTCACTAGTGTGAGAACCTGAAAGAGTAAATAAGATCTGAAATGTGCAGTGTATACTGTGAAAGGGAAGGTACTTGTTCAGTGGGAAGCAAAAACTGGGATGAGAAAAAGGATGAAAAAAGGGAAAAGATATATTTAGGTATATATGCAG